GGAGGTGGGGATTCTGGGAGGAAAACTCCATTTCCTCCTTCCCTGCCGGCCGCTCCCCTCCACCCTGGCACCCCAAATTTCGATGTGTCGCCTCCTGGGCGCAGGGCGCCGGTGCTGAGCGAGGCGGCGGCCGGCAAAATGCTGGGCATGTACGTGCCGGACAGGTTCTCCCTGAAGTCCTCCCGGGTGCAGGACGGAATGGGGCTCTACACGGCCCGCAGAGTGAGAAAGGTGGGTGACCCTTGGCGGCCTGCGTTCCCAGCTGGCCGCGCCCCCCAAGCGGCTGCGCCACGTAGGTATCGGCCGGGCGCGCTCCGCCGCGGCGGGTCCAGGGGCGGAACTGCCGCCCGCCTCCCTGCGGCCAGATGGTTTCCTCTCCCCTGCAGGAAGTGAGTGCGGACGGAGCCTCCCTCCTCCTCGCGTCCGGGTGTGAGCGGCGTCTACGCGTTGGCTGAGGCACGCGTGGGCGGGCGTCTGCACCCCCGCGCACGCTGCGCCGTCGCCGCCTTTCTGCCTTAACGACGAGCTCCTGTGGCCGGGAACGCCTCGCTCCCCCACGTGGGCATGGAGGCGAGCCGCCCCGAGCGCAGCTCCGCGCAGGCCTTTGAATCTCATTCGGATACCCGGCGTTGTGTCCCGCCTTGCAGAATATATGTGGCTTCTGGGAGGTGTCGGTAGAACACCTCTGCCGTTTTAATTTTTCTCAGAGTTTGGAACTCTCCTTGCCTAATTTAGAGGCAAGTGACCAGAGCAGGCACTTTGAGCTGTCGGAACTGGAACTGCCTGGACCTGATGTTGAAAGCAAAGGGCGAGGGAAGAGGAGTCACCGGTATATTCCAAAATTTTACATTTGAAGTTATACCTTGTGTTACATTCGTTTTGCAGGTTATGTGAAATCTGGAAGCCCCAAAGCAGTGGTGAAGCGCTCAGGGTGATAAGGGCACTGTTATTTGAGAGCTTTTTGGCTATAGGGCGCATGTGTTTGCCAGAGAGACAGACAGGAAGCGAGATATTCCCTTCCGCTCCCCCCATGGCCCCGCCAGTCCCTTCTCCATTCTCTCATGGGAATTTTGGGGACCCAGCGCATGTGCCTGGAACTCGGGTTGGCTACATGAGAGTCCAGCCACTTAACCATTTTGCCATCTGCTAGTTCCAGGGTCACCATTTATTGAACACATAATAGTGCCTGGGCCTATACTTGGTAGTTTAATCTACATTAGTTCCGGTCACTGGCATCCCTCCTGTCAGAAGTTTTAATCCCCCTTTAAGAAAGGAAACAAGAAATTATACAAAGTTACTTTTTTTTTTTTTTTTTGCCTAGTGAGTTAGGGTTCAAACCCCAGAACCTAGGTCCTCTGAAGTCTAAAGCCCGTGTTCTTTCCTGAACAGTTGTCGCCTCTGTATGCCTTATCCCTGTCCCTTCCTAGTCTCCCCACCTGGCTTTGTTAGCAGATGGAGTCATGCCCAGGGTAAGGGCTCTCGGTCAAGGACAGCACACAACTACGGAAGTCCATAGGTGCATGCAGCCTACTCGGTAGGCAGGTGTGGCTGCACTGCGGGTGTTTTTGTGAGTCACTCTGATGCTTACACTGCAATGCCATTGCCTCATGTAGTTTCTCAAATGTATCCCAATGGCTTGTACATGATTATATTTTGAAGAAGGGAGGTTTGGGGAAGATAAGTTAAGCTTGTTCAGGATATCTTACCCTAACAAGAGGTTCAGGGAGTTCACTCAGAGACAGGGGTGCCTTTTATTATAACCTGCTCCCCCAGCCTCTGACCTGAAGAGCCCTTGAGGAGGAGTGGACAGTGCCACCGATCTCCCAGAGGAACTCCATTGACAACGTGACCTACAAATACTGCGCAGGGTGTAGTTGCAAAACATAAACGTCATTTACTTTTTAAAATGGGATTTTGGGAGAATGCCCAATGTGAAAGACAGGAGGAAATACCGGATCTGAATTAGAGGTACAATGAATAAGTGTTTTTGCCATGCGACCATATGTTAAAATTGAATGTCAACATTATTTCAAAGCTACCTGTAACCATTTTCAAGTGACCCTTGTACGCTAGAATTCTACACTTAATTCATTTTCACAAGATGCGAAAAAGTCTCCAATGGACTTTTCTTGAATGTCTTTGATAAACGTAATTATTTAAAGAACTTAATGTGGTTCTTAAGTATTTTTTTAAATATACTGAATAGTAACCAAACAACTGTATAAATAATAAGAGTTATTATTTTTTACTTTTAAAGTTTGTTTCTTCCATGGGAGAGATCAACAAACAGAGACACACACATACACAGACACCTTCAACAGGGTTTTAACACCAGTCTTCCTCCAGCCTTCAGCCAGCCTCCATCGTGGGAATGCGTGTGCCCAGTGTGTGCGGGAAGGCCTCAGGATGCAAACTCAGGACCTTCCCGTGTAGCTCTAGTGGTGTTACTGCTACCTCACCATCAGCCCGTAGGACTATAAAATAATTCTTGTTTTTTGACTCATATTACTATTTAGTATTTTTGTTGTTATTGTTGTTAGAGAGTGCTTGTACTCACTGGAGAGAGACAGAGTGAGCAAGACTCCCCCTACACCCCCCAATGGGGAATGGTCATACTGCAATCCCTTCTCCTCCATTTCTGCGTTCAGGATTTTGGGCACGCACGCACATGCATCTGGTGTGCTTTCAAATTGCCAGGTCCAAGACTTGAACTTCGCAGTCGGCCATGTGGGATCCTGCTGCTTTAGCCACCATGCCACTGGCTAGCCATTACTTAAGTTTAAACATACAGCCAAGCTACTTTCTTTTGATATTTTTATTAACTTCAGTTTAAAAAATATATTTTTGATTATTTGCAAGTAATTATATGGGGGCATAGAGTAAACAGCTTCTAAAATCATATATTATTGGGACATTTTGCTATTGCAATGATGAATAGACACCTTTTTCCTGGCTAATGTAACTTCAATATATATATACTAGAGATTGTCATCCAGATAACCTCTAGCATGCTTACCTCTAGTTCAAAGTGATATGCAGATGTTTGCAATCAGTCTAGACCATTATCGACATAGCTTAGTTATGATCTCAAGGTACCCAGTCACAAGGTCATCATCAGGTTCATTGAGGCCAGAAATGACCTTGAGGTGGACTTTGGTTCCTTTGCCTTCCAGTGCCTGCGGACGAAGCCGAAGCTGGTTTTAGTGGAATTGTAAGGCTGAAGCTGAGCGTCAGTGCATTCCTTACTTGCTTATATTTAATTAGTCTCTCCATTCTTAAATATTTTCCAAGTTACCTCGTACTAAACTTTGGCCATAAATCAAGGGATCTGAGAAGAGAGAGTTCTATGAGAAGCTATACTAAGGATATTACTTTAAAGTTTTTATGTTTATGTATTTATGTTGGGTAAATTCAATTTACAAGCTAAGTGATGTATAAAATAAAATAAAATAATAAAACAAAAAGGTTGTATGTTCTAGGAGCCAGCCAGTGGAATGGTGGTTAAGGTAGCTGGATCCCCATGGTTCAAGTACCAGAAGGGAGAGCTTGAAAAACATGCTGGGCATGTGTGAGTGCATGCTTAAAATCTCAAGAAGAGCATAGAGGAGAAGGGATTGAGGCATTCCCCCCCAGCCCCCGCCCCATGCTCTCTCACTTTCTCTCTCTCTCAGGCAGGCACATGTAGCAAATTTTGAAAAAGTTATGTTCTCTATTCTAAGCAAATGTTGGAATATACCACTTGAGATCTATGTGTTAGACACTTCTAATGTTTTATCACACATTCATAACACATATGCTGGTATAACACTCCTGTTTTAAAAAATGATTGCAGTTCATCTGTTGATTTTAAATTCAGTGAATCTAGTTCAGGCTGAGATTGGAGAATCTTGCTAGCAACCATGTCACCAGATTGACGGGATTCCCTTCCCCATGGGACTCCTTAATCCTTCTATAGATCACCCCTTTTAGTACGGTGTTTCCCAGAGTGTGAGGGGCAGCCCCTACAGCAGAATCATCAAATTCTGGGGCTCTACCATATTCCTCCTAGGTTTTTCTTTTGAAGTCACCTTTATTTATAGGCATGTTGCCTTTAAGAAATGGTCTTTTGGAGCCAGCAGGTGGCATGGTGGTTAAGGTGCTGGATTCCCACATGGTTGACCACGGTTTGAGTCCTAGACCTGGTGGCTGGCTTGCTCACTTTCTTTCTCTCTCTTCCTCTCTCTGTCCCTCTCTGGTCAAATTAAAAAAATAAATAAATACAATTAAATAAAATAATTATTTTAAAAGAATGGTTTTTCAGTATAGGCTCTACACAGTGAGAAGAAGAAAAGGAAAGGAGAGTCTGTTGGAAAGCCCTGGAGTAGAAGAAGGAGGTCTAAATCCATTCTTTTTTTTTTTTTTTTTTTTTAAGAGATGTTTTTGCTATAGGGCGCGTGTGCTCGCCAGACAGAGAGAGAGAGACAGACAGAAAGCAAGAAATCATCCCCCAGGGAGGATGGCCACACCACAATCCCCTCTTCCACATTCTCCTCTTCTGATCTTGGGCACGCACGCAAACGCACCCGGCGTGAGTTTAAGCCACTGGGTCCAGGACTTGAAATGCAGTTGACTACATGGGAGTCCAGTGACATAGCCATTATGCCACCTGCTGGTCTCCAGATCCATTCACTTTTACACGTTGTGGTTTACTAATGATAAGAATAATAAAACAGAGGCCAGCTGATGGAGTAATGGTTATGTTGCTGGACTCCCACATAGTCAATAGTGGTTCAAGTCCCCGTGGCTTGAAACTCATACCGGACGTGTGTATGTGCATGCCCAAGATCCTGAGAGGAGAAGGGATTGCTGTGTGACCATTCCTCCTGGAGGTGATTTCTTGCTTTCTGTCTCTGTCTCTCTGTGTCTCTCCGGTGAGTGCACATACCCTACAGCAAAAATCTCTCTTAAACAAATAATAAGAAAGCATAATAAAACTGACACTTTTTGCATGCCATATGCCAGATCCTGCAGTAAGTGCTTGCTATGGATTATCTCATGTGCATGGTTTAATTCTTTAATAAAGATGTGGATTTCTAAGTTGCAAAGTATTATGTAGATTAAAGTGAATATTAGTTACTTAAAGCTAATTCCTTAACTATATATACAGTACAAGGTCAACAAATACCTATATTTGCTTTCACTATGCTGTATTTTTTTATATTATGACCATCCCTCCCCCCCTCCCCCCCCAGCTGGGTTGTATGATTAAACAGTGAGTGAAGATACTTGACACTGTGCTTGAGCTCCAAAAGTGTAAGGTAAAGTGGAAGGGTTCTTCAAACTCTCAGACTATGTGATTTTATTTATTTATTTCATTTTAAAATTTGCTATAGGGCATATGTGCTCACTGGGGAGAGACAGAGAGAAAATGTAAGAAAGCACTCCCATCTCCATGGGGAATGGCCATGTTGTAATCCCTTCCCCTCCATCTCTCCCTCCTTAAAGAGTTTTGGGCACATGTGCATGTGTATGCGCATGCACTCAGGGTGTTTTGCAAGCTGTCAGGTTGTGAACTCGAACCTGAGGTCAACAATGTGGGATTCAGCTCCCTCAACTACCATGCCACAGTCTGGCCCCTACATAATAGTTCTGCTGGGTTAAGTCCAGCTGCTTTTACTTGTGGTCAATGAAACAAGAGGGAGAGGGTGGAGAAGAAGGGAGTTTATTTCTGTGCCTGGGTTACAAGGAGACAGGCAGCCAGCACTACCAAACTGTCTTTAAAAGCTCAGCATATGCTCAGTATTGTACCTCAGTATTTGCACAGGCAGGTGCAAATTATTCCTCATTATA